CTTCAGTTTCCTTTTCTGTCTTAGAGTTTTCATTAGAGATATTTATCTCCTTGGTTAGGTTTTATGACCAGGCATTTTATTTTCTCAACCTTTTATGAATAGGATTCCCCCGTCCTGATTTCTTTCTTGTCAAGTTCATTATTAATATATAGAAAGACTGCTGATTTCTGTATGTTGATTTTGTGTCTTGCTATTTTGCTGGGATTGTATATCAAGTCCAAGAGTTTTTTGGTGGAGTCATTAGAGTCTGTTAAGTATAGGATCATGTCATGTGCAAATAGGGATAGATAGTTTAGCTTCTCCCTTTTCGATTTGTATCCTTTTTCCTGTCTCTTGTCTTATGGCTGTAACTAAGACTTTGATCACTATTTAGAATAAGAGTAAGAATGAGCCTCTTTACCTTGTTCCTGGTGTTAGAGAAAATGCTGAGTTTTCCCCCATTTAGTGTAATGTTGGGTATAATGTTTAGTAATATGTTTTTGTATGTAGACTTTATTACACTGAAATATGTTCCTTTTACTCTAGTTTCTTGCTTATTTCAGGAAGAGATGTTGACCTTTGTCAAAGGCCTTTTGTGTGTCTATTGAGATGATCACACGATTTCTGACCTTAATAAGCTAGAAGTTCTGTTGAGTCTACTTTTATAATTTATTTTCAATGCAAAAATGAATGTGTTTTCAACATATATCTGTCTGAAATTATTTAAGAAAACCCCGTAAGAATCATACTTGAGTTATAATATGTAAATATATATTATTATAGCTGAGTGTTCTTTCCTGATAAATTTTCTTTTCCTTTTTTTAAAAAAATCTTTTTGAGACTGGATCTCCCTGTAGCCCTAGTTGGCCTAGTAGACCAGGCTGGCCTCAATCTCACAGAGATCTACCTGCCTCTGCTTCCCAGCTGCTGGAACTAAAGGTGTAGGCTCCCATAACCTGTCAAATTACCATTTTTGATGGAGGCTTACTGTATAGTCTATGGTGGCTTAGAACTTCTTATATAGCCCAGGGTGGCTTCAAAGTCATTGTCTTTCTGCCTTAGGCTTCTGAGTGCTGGGACTGTGTTGCGACCCATGTCCAGTTTCTCCCATAATTCATTTGTTGAGTCCTTAACCCCCAATGTGATAATGTTTGAGGATGGGCTGTTTAGTAGATAAATTAGGACTGCATGAGGTCACAAGGGTATAGATCTCACGATTATTATTATGAGACATGAGCGCTCCCTTTTCCTGTTCTTATGGAAAGAAAGGATCATATGAGTGTACAGTGAAAGGGTAATTGTTTAAGTGCCAAGAAAAGCAGCTTTAGAATGGAACCTTGATCCCATGGGCTTCCAGTCTCCAGAACTGAGGGACATAAATGTTAAGTCACCCAGCCCATGTTTTTAAGTATTTTTATGGCACCCTAAGATTTATTTCTTTCACTCCCTCTCACTCTCTTTCTTCCTCCTGTCTCTGTCTCTCATTCACATTCACATATACTTCATCACATCAACCTAAGGTAGAGATTTTCCTAAGATTATTTGGAAAAATTATAATGGAAATGCGCATGCCCACAGTAAACTATGAATGTTCAAGAAGATTGGGGCAAGGGAAAGTTATTAAAGGCATAAGTGAGAATGATTACAGAAAACTGTTTGAAATTGTCATTCTTGGCCACAGAATAAATAGCAAGAGCAGTGCTAATCATGTTGAGTAAGTCAGCTGCCAGGCCAGAGTCCTCATGCAGGTACTTTTGTGTGAGGATGTGATGGCCTTTGTGCAAGACTGTAGTTCTGGCAGTCTTGTGATAGTTACTATCCCAATTAATGTATGAGAATGCTTGTTTTATAATCAATCTTTTTAAAATATTTTATTTTTTATGTGTATGAGTGTATTGCCTGCATGTATGTGAGTGTACCCGTGTCATGCAATGCTGCAGAAGTCAGAAGAGGGCTTCGGATTCCCCTGGAACTGGAGTTAAGGACAGTTCATAGCTGCCATGTGGATGCTGGGAATTGAACCTGGGTCCTCTGCAAGAGCAGTCAGTGCTCTTAACTGCTGAGCTATCTCTCCAACCCCATAACCTATCTTTATTATTATTTCTTGGCTAAGATTGATCCAATGATTCCATTTTTATTCTGAAAATTTTCATAGTCATAGTTTTGTTCATAATGGTGAAAAATTGGGTAAGTGAAAATATCTTTCAATAGAGGACTGGATAAATCAGTTAATCAAGGTAAAATATGTCTTGGAATAGTATCCACTGGCTAAAATGTATTTGTTGACATTTAAAATATATATTGTTTTTTTATTTTTTATTTTCATTTTGTCTGCGTGTTTTGCTTGCATGTATGTAAGTACATCAATGTGTGCAATGCCCACAGAGGCCAGAAGAGGGCATCAGATCTGCAACTGGAGTTAAGGACTGTTAGCTGCCATGTCAGTGCTGGGAACTGAACCTGGGTCTTCTGCATGAGCTGCCAGTGCTCTTAACTACTGAGCCATCTCTCCAGTCCTGTACGTTGTTTTGAAAAAAAAGAAAAGCAATACATAAAACCATCCACAAAATATATTTCCATTTTATTAAAATAATTACATATATTTTATTAAATTTTTGTGGATTTCATACAATAGTTCTTAATCATATTTAGCCCCCCCTTCCCTACCCACACCACCCTCATAGCCCACCCACGGGGCTTCATGCATTTTGTTGTATATGTTAAGGCCTATCTAGTCAAGTTTGTGTGCCCAGATGTCCCTTGGTGTGTGTTCATCCACTGGAGCCTGTTCTGCCTGTCTAGCATCACTCCCTTAAAAAAAATATCAATTCTCCCTCACCCTGCAGTGATCAGCTGCCAATAAATAGTTCCCTGCCAGAGGTGTGGCCTCCTGCCCATTTCCCCAGTTCTGTGCTGGTTTTTGTGTAATAGAGTTTGCATGGGTCTTATGCATGCTGTTAAAGGGAAACATACCCTAAATATTAATACTAGGTTATAGCTAGGCATGGTGTACATATCTGTAGTCCCAGCATTTATGAGGCTGAGGCAGGAGGATCACAAATCCAGGGCCACCTGACTGGGCTGCCTGGTAAGATGCTTCTTTAAGGGGGAGGCGGGGGATGGCAAGAGAAGAAGTTAGTTTATTTTATAGAAATTAATATATCTGAATTTGGTCATATAAGAAAAAGGAGTTGAGGTTTAAAGGCAAAACACAGTTCATAAATAAGGCTGCTAGATTAGCCAATAAAAATCCAATAACCCTGTCCGAAAGCAGAATTGGCTTGTTTTATGTAGTTATGGTTCTGAAATGCCAGTCTGGGCAGGGACCCTTTTTAATGTGTGAGAGATGCTGAGGCTCATGGAGTTAATGACTTTCTCAAAGTCATCCAGCCACTCCAGGGGCAGTCAGGATCTCAGTATGTGCTTGGATGACCCATACATCGTATATTGTCTGGCCAACACTTTATGTCTTTACACTGTTCAGTGTTGGCTAGGTCATTAAAAGTACTTACAGTGTTGGGGGGAAGCAGACTTATTACTATCAGATCAGCTCTAAAGTTTCCATTACAAAATAAAACAGTGCTTAAAGGATGTAAGCATGGTGTTACTTAATCAAATTGTTTTATCTGTTTATGCTAGTGAAATCCTCTGGATAATCTTGATGATTTAAATGTTTTTAAATATTGAAAATATCCTAAATTAGAAGCATTTACCAGTGCCCCTCTCTTTTAGCTAGAATTAAAAGAAGTGGTCCTCTGTTATATCTGGGAGGCTGGGTGGGGGAAGGGGTCAGTATGTGTATGCACATGTGCATGCTTGCCCCTTAAGCCTCTACATAGAGTCAGTAGTGACCTTGTAGAATATTTTATTGAGGATGTAGTAGGTATTCAGGTCTATTTAAAAAAAAATTTAGTTATTTATTTTTATGAGTGTGTTTTGCACTCATATTGTGCAGTGCCCATGAAGGCCAGAAGAGGGCATCGGATCCCTTGAAACTGGATGGTTCTTAGCCATCACGTGGGTGCTAAGAATTGAACCCCGGTCCTCTGGAAGAGCAGTGAGTTCTCTTAACCACTTGAACCAACTCTCCAGCCCCATATTCACATCTATTAATAACCAACGCTACTGATACACATTCCTAAGATAAGCTACTTTTGCTTTGTAAAGGTTGATTTCCTAAATATGGAGCAGCATAATTATTGAGTAGATTTTTGATTCATTATTTTATATACTCAAGTATGTCAGTCTCTATTGTTATGAAATGGAGGCTGTATTGATGGTCATATCACAAGGTTGTTATTTCCCTTAAATTATAACAGGGGTGAAGTGTTTGGCTTGTAGTCATAAAAGCGAAAACATACAGTACTTGCTGTTTCTACTCAGTCCACTTACAGTGTCATAAGCAAAATAAGTTGAGCCATATGTGAAGAATTTGAAGAAGGTTTTCAACACTCTCAGAATCCACTAGAAGTTCTATTGAGTAGATGATGATGAATAAGCTCCCTGATTAATTAAGTCAAATGGGGAAAAATCAAATGTGCAGGTTGTAAAAAAAAAATTATGCTAGCACACAGAATCAGCCTTCATATTCCTTAAACAGAGAAATGTAAAAAAATCGTTTCCGGTATTGAAAATTATCCATAATATATTTTAAATATTGAATATAATAGAAAACAAGCAGTACTTTGCAGCATTTAGAATTGTTTTCTAGGCTTTAAATTCTAAGCTCCTCAGAACTGGCACATGCTCTCTTGCCTCTGTAGGGCTCTCTACTTTTAAAAATATGTTCAGGGCCACAGAGTCACTGGAACATACCTTCCTAAAGTCAGTGGATTGGATTTCATGTACTTTTTGCTGTGACATTTTACCCCTGATAGTCTAAATTTTAGCTACTCATTCAACGTTCAATTTATGTGTATTTAATTCATAAGTACTTAGTTCTTTAATGAAATTACTTTGTATCATACTCCTTCAGAGATGTTGTTTAATTTTTAACACTTTTATTATCAACTTCCCCTAAGGTATTCCCATCTGTCAGCAACACTTAATTTGGAATAACATGGAGCTTGAAGATGATTATTGCTTGAATGATTACAAGTGAGTGTAATTGCGTATTAGCAGCTTTATAGGCAAGGTGCCAGTGTTTTTCTAAACCCTAGGGTCATGGCTGTCTGGAATAGCTCTGATTCTGTTTTCATTATGAAGTCTGACCTGTAGATGTGTTGGCTCAGTGCCATCTTTTCCCCTGATTTTTGTTCTCAGATACCTGGAGTTTACCTTTCTATTTTTCATGCCAAACTGTTTGTCTCCTGCCTTTTTACATGGTTGTATTAACATCTTGTCCTCTTTGCTTCTTTCTATGAATATGGACCCATTCTCACCTGGTCATGTTCTTTTTCTTTTCATTTTCATATAAGAGTTTTGTCATGAGAGAATTGCTGTCCGCCTAGATTTTATTCATTAAGCAGCCCTCTTACTCTTAAGATGTGACACTGTTTGCCAGTGATTGCAAGCATACTTTGTGACCTTTCATCCTCTCTCTTTCCTCTCACATAGTTTGTAACTCATGAGACAAAAAGACTTAAGTGTGAGAAGTGACAGGGAACAGCTGGAAGAATGCTAGGAGTTGGTAGATTTGCTGTGTTTCTGCTTTTATTGTGTTGAATACATTTTCTGCTTTCTAGCCTTTTGGGTTTATGTAAGCCTCCTTTCTTCCTAGGACATTCCCTTTTTAAATTAAGAACTTTTAAACTTTTAGTTATTTATGCAAGTAAATATATTAAAATCTTTTTTTGCTGTATCTTTTTAAAAAAATATATTTCAGGGAGGACATACTAGACCTAAAGTACATGCGCATAACTAGTGGTTCTCTCAACACTGAACGTTATTTGATTATTATAGTTTATTTTTACTGTTCACAGCATTTCAGAAGGTTGTACATTGAAGCTGGTATTGGCTATGCGTGGTGGACCTATAAGTACCAGAAAAGGTAGGCATATATTAAAGCAACCTAATGATCATTTTTAAAGCAGTTTAATAGTAGTATTCTTCAAGAGGTTAATGTTTTTATAGCCTCTCATTTAAGTCAAGTTCCTTTCCTGCCATTGGGTCTTTGGTTCTTTGGTTCTTCTAGGCATTGTTTTTTAAATCCTACATGCATAAAATACTGGAACTCTAAATAAATCCCAGAAAATCTCTTGACTCTGGATTCAGTCCAAGGATATTTAAAAATAAGTAAAGGGAAGAGAAATGGATTGACAGTATAAGTAAATGTTATCATTGTTTAGATTCACATCCATTTTGTTGCTTTTTAAAGTCTAAGTCTTCAATTCCTGGGATAATAATTTGCTATAGAAAATTCCAAAATTGCTTGTTTACCTGGTGATGAATCTGGATTTCATGGATATTTTCATAGTTTTATTGAATCTTTTCTCAGAATATGCATGGTCTCTGGACCCTATTCAAATGCATGGTGGACATCTATTGAATTTTTAAAAGATTTTATTTTTAATTATGTATATGGTGGATGTATGTGCATGAAAGGGCAGGTGCCTGTGGAAACTAGAAGAGGATGTCAGATCCCCTGGAACTAGAGTTTTAGGTGGTTGTGAGTCACCCACTGTGGGTGCTTGGAAATCCAAACCAGGCTTCTGTAAAAGCTGTGTGTGTTCTTAACAACTGAGCCATCTCTCCAGCCCCATCTACTGGATTTTGAGTGCAGTGTAAACATGGGAGGCAAAGTCCCTCTTTTATGACACTGCCCCAAATAAGTGTGTGAAGAATTGATGGAATTTCAGGTAGTTGTGAGTGCTACGTAGGAAATAGGATAATGTGATAACATCTGTAGAAGTGGAATATTATGAAGGTCCTTGGAAAAGATGATGTGGGCAGAGACTTGATTAGCAAAAAGCGTTTTAAGCATGGGAAGAGCTGGGTAGTGTGCTTACTGGCCCCCATCCAGATCTTTCACATGAATCTTCAATAAGCCAAATCATGTTCAGAGCAATCCTGCTTTGTGGACCTCATTTTGGAAAGGCCTTCAGATTGGTTTGATACTCCACAAACTAGAAAACTGAAGTTTTAAGTATTGATTCCACTATTAGTTTATTTCCACATGTCAGACTATATCCTTCTGCTTCATAATTTTTGCTAAGATAGGAATAATTAAAATGTTTTTCTTATCTACCTTGAGAATTTTGTGAGAGTTGTTGAATTGTTTGCACAGGTTAGAGAAAATGAAGACATTAAATTAAAGCTGATTAACCAGCACTCTTGACATGAGAGACTTTCCTATTAATTAAATGAATGAAATGGTTTTATGGGTTAGAGAGATGGCTAAGCAGTTAGTAGCACTTTCTGTGCAATCATGAAGACCTGATTTCACTTCTCAGCACCCATATAACAAGTTAGGCATCCTGCAAATGCTGTAACTCCAGCTCTGAGGGATCTGATGCCTTCTTCTGGCCTCTGCATATGCACCAGATTACACACATGGACATACACTAATGCATTCAAATAAGTAAGTAAACAAACAATCTTCTTAAAAGAAGTAATTTTATATCACATTGATAATATTCATACAATGAGAATAGTTCAATAACCCTGTTTACTAAGCCATTATTATTAAGAGTTACATAGTGTTTAGTGGCTTATGCATTCAATTTTTGAAAGTTGATAATTATGTGCAAGGTGTAGTAGGCCATCTGAACAAAATCCTGGCATCTCAAGGTTAAGTAGGAAGCCACTTATTTACTGTAAAGGGTTATTTATTCCTGAATGTTTGACTAACTCATTGAACAAAGTAGTTCCTGAATTGTCTTTGTAGTTTTTTTTATCAGAAACTCTATTATTTTGAATAAAAGTGCAACATCTTTCATCAAACATAATACAAATAACTTTTTGTTGTTGCTAGCATTGTGATTTTTTTTTTCTTTTAAGTTATTTAGCTGGTGGTATCCAGCTGATTGGATATTTCTTAAAGGCATTTTTGGTAAAACTCGTTGATTAATTTATACTTTTATTTGTTGACCATTAGACTGTAGTCTATTTGAAACCTATATTTATTTGTTTTCTAGTCCTTTTTGGTGGGAGTTTACTTACAGAAGAGTGGGTGTGGGCATTCCCCCCCCCCCCCGCTTTACAGCTGTGCTGGAAAGTCCACACTCAAGTATAGATCCTATGACTTCCTGACAGCCGCACAAAATGGCTAGAGAGGTGTGTCATGGTGTTCTCAGCTTATATATCCTTAGCCCCTCACCCACATGCAGCTAAGGTCGACTGATTAGGCGGAGGAGTAACTGACTGGTTTCTAGTCTTAAATAGATTTTGAATTTCTCCCAGGGACTCCTATAGCATTAACACAGACATTACAAGACTCAGGTAATGTCCTCATAGCTCTGGGGTGATTTTTGCTAAGGGGAGGAGATATGCAGGCCAGGGTAAAGGGTGTAACTATTGAACCAGCTTGCCAGTCCCATACAGTTCAATGGTAAGCTTGAGCCAAGGTTCCCCTGTCCACAGTACTTTCAGGCATCAGCTCAGGAGACACTGAGTGCAGAGCAGTTGCTGTTTGCCCCTTCATAGCTTAGGACATTCAGGATGAGGGTTGGGGTTTGATAATCCCCATAGGGTGAGAGAATCCATCCCTCTGTTATTTGAGACATGAGGAGTGATTTACTCTCTTGACAAGCAGGTTCCTATGAGCCGGTCTGTATAAGCCAGGAACAGGAGCAGCAGACATCAGCAAGTCCCATTTTCCCATGTGTTCTTATCTTGTAACAGGGCCAGCATGCAATTTACTCCAGCAGAGTCTGTGTCCCAGTACAGGGGGAAGGGTACTACCTGAGCCTGGAGATAGTCTGCCGTGTAATCATAACAGTCACTCTTATTGAGCACATGTACTGTAAATTTAACCCAGGTATTTAACTCTCTATCCAGTTTTTATTTTTAAGGTCTGTATCAAATCCTTTATTTTAATTATATTTACATATATTTGTTTTTTGCTTTTTTCAATAATTTAAAACTTTTTTTTTCTTTTCTTTGTCTTTTTGAGACAGGGTCTCCCTGTAGCCCCAGCTGTCCTGGAACTCACTATGTAGACCAGGCTGGCCTCAAACTCACGGAGATCCTCCTGCCTCTGCCCCCCAAGTACTGGGATTAAACGCATGTGCCACCACGCCTGGCAAACTTGTCAGACTTCAAATTATTTTTTTAGTTATTTTTTTAACTTTTACAAAAACTTTATTGAGAATTTTATACATGTATATAAGGTTATTTGATCAAATCTATGCCCACTCCCTCCCCTCCAACATTCCCTCCTCTGAAGAGGTAACCCTAAAATCTTTGAAGGATTAGATACAAGCTCCCAAATACTTTTGACATTTTTTGCCTTTGGAACAGATTTTGTTGCTAAGAGGCCCAAGGACGTTTGGGGTCTTTTTACCCTAACTGCCTAGCCAGTCCCTCCCTCCTATTCTTATCACACCATCCTCTGAAGAGGTTACCCAAATTGCGATAGGGAATCAGGACGCTGACTGCTCTGGCTTCTTCCATGCTGAACAGGGATGCAGGGTGAGGCAATTGGGGTACCCCTTCAGTGGGTCTGTCTAAAAGACTCCCAAATTGCATAACTATTAACTGTGGAAAGAAAAGGAAGTCCTTGACTGGTGCCTAGCTATTTTAAATTATCAAAATTAAAAACTTTAAATCCAAAGAAATATAATGAATGTATAACAGTGGTTTTTCGAAAAAGAAAGGAAATCATTTGTAGTGCTTCTTACATTTAAAACATTCTCAATATAACACTCTCACTCGTGTGTGTGTGTGTGTGTGTGTATGTATGAATGTACTGTGTACGTATATATGTATGTACACATGTGTGAGAGTGCTCTGACTGGTGTGTGTACAATGTGGAGGTCAGAGATCGATGTTTGATGTCTTTCTATCATTCTATTCTATTTTTTGAGACAGAGTTTCTCACTGAACCACTGCTGCTAGACTGGGAAGCCAGTGAGCTGTCAGAAACTACCTATCCTTGTCCCTCCCCCAGATTTGGAAGTAGAGAGGCATTCTACAGCTCCTGGTTTATATATGGGTGCTAGAGACCCAAATAGTC